TGCTGTTCTATGTATTTTTTTTCTTTACTTTTTCATTTTTCCTCCACAAACTGCCACTTGACTGATGTAAAACAATAAATCCATATTTAGCACAGGTACAGTGAGAATGATAAAGCCATGGAAAGCTCTCATCTGCACTTTACGCCTGAGTGAGGCGCGTTCACTTCAACTGTGTCCCTTTAGGAGCTGAGCGGGGATTCTGGCCGGACAGAGCCGGACCTTCCTGTCTCATGGAGCCTGCAGAGACAGACTCAAGCTGGTCCCAAACCAGGAGTACCTCATCATGGGCCCCAAAGACGACCAGTGGAACATCGACAGCGCCACCAACAGGTAATTGTATTTATATTACTATATTTGTATTTTTTTACTTTACCTGTACAATGTATACATTTATATATTTATGTCTTATTTGACACAAGTCTCTTGCTATTTTTGCTACTTATTTAGAATTTATTATTATTACAATTTATATTGTTGTTCTTTGTTATTATAATATATCGTGATGGGTGAGTTACTGCACTTCCTGTATTACTGTATTACTACGTGACATCACAAGGTGGAACTGAGTGTTTTCTGTCTGAGAGAAGAACTCAGCCTAAATATGCAGGGTTTGTGTGTCAAACCCCGAACCCAGATCATGATTTGTGATGAGGAAACAACATTAGAACATAGATCAGAAAAGAGAATCATCTGGGCCCTTTAAAGGAGCTGTATGTAACCTGCCCTCTTACTGTTTCAAAAGGATACTAGAACAGAACACTACATGTGATACCATTGTTTGTGGAGTCCCACAGGGATCAGTGCTAGGCCCCAAATCATTTCTTTTATATATAAACACCTTGTAATTAGTTTCTGAAAAACTTAAAATTTAAAAGCAATACAAATTGCTCACTTAGTTGGATATAGAGAACATACGAATGCACTTCTTTGTCAATCAAAGATACTGAAATCTGAAATCAAATGATACTGAAATTTGGGGACCTGGTAAAATTTAAAACATGCTTTTCTTAAATTCATGTCTTATTCCTTAAATCCTTACATTTTTAATTCTCATTACTGTTTATTTTGAACTTTTCATAAACGATAAACTTTGTGCCTTCTTTATCATTATTATTAGTCTGTGCGATCATAAACAAAAAATATATTTGAGTGTGTGTGTATATATGTGTTATGCATATGTGTGTATGTGTATATATTTATATTGAATATATGTACTGGAATATTTTAGATGCGTGTGTGTGTGTGTGTGTGTGTGTGTGTGTGTGTGTGTTGGTGGGTTGTGGGGTTGTATGTCTGTGTGGGCGTTGTATTTACGACAGGTAAGCACCCCAAAGGTGTAAAAAAAAAGTGTCAAAACGTGATTATGTAAAACAATTGGCAACTATCGTTTTTTTAAACTTCAACCTACTCTTTTTGAGCACCAGGTCCCAAACATGTGCATGTGCATATCCCTTGTTATTGTTGTTGTACATTGCTCAAACAAATAAATGAATGAATGAATGAATGAGAATCACACCTGAACCTGTGTCCCCAGAGCCTTATTTGTTTAATGGTTTGTTCATTATTCAAAGACTATGTTAATGTATGCTGAATGTACTCCCCCTGGTGGTAGTTTGGTGGTCTCCTGTATTTGTGTTGACTACACTTTACTCCCTCTTGTGGCAGGTACGTGTATCTGCTGGGTAAGAACACGTGGGTGGAGCGATGGCCGTCTGAGGAGGAGTGCAGCGCCTCCCTCAGGCAGAAGTGTGAGAGTCTGAACGCTATGGCCAACGAGCTGTCCACGAACGGATGCCGACTGTAACTACGCAGTGTCCCTGAACGCACCACCACTGGAGCTGTCCAATCACTCTGTTATTATTATTATTACACAAAATCCACTTTTTGGAGCTGTCTATCATGTTAAAAAAGTTGTCCCCTCATCAAAAACCTGTCTGAAAAGGTTTTACATCATCATCCATGCTTGTTTGACTAATATTGTGATCTCTCCTGAGATTTATTTGAACCTTCCTTATGTTTAACTGTACAAGCCTGTACAAGGCTCCTCTAATTATTGTATGTGATTACTCTAGTGATCTGACTTTACTGGACATGTACGTGGACCCACTATCTGTATTGGTTTCGGTTCATTGGTGCATTTCTTGAAATCTGTAAAATGTCATTGTTTCAGTCGACAAAACACTTAAAATGTTTATTTGATTTAGAATGATTTTGTTTGTATTTATTTCAGTGATTTTGACTTGGCTTTATGAGACAGCACAGTAGAACCACAGTGCAATGAAGGGTTTATGGGTAAAACTAAAATCTGACATACAGTCAAAGAGAAAATAAAGTGGACACCAAGTAGTGAAGGGTCTTTTGGCTCTTTTATGGGAGCCGAATCTTTTGGATTGATACATTTCATATATGAAAGAAGCCAGTGTGAAAACTCATTTTACCTACAAACTAATCACAGAGAAAATACCAAGGCTCAGATCTGTTTGAAATGGTTCAAACTGAGAGTGGAAGTGTGTTTACCCTTTGAAACGATGAAAAACCTCTGTCTGATCTGTTCTCATTAGAAGAGTCTGATTTACTCTCATTAGAAGAGTCTGATCTCGTCTCATAAGTGGGAACAAGCTCCATACAACATAAACGTTCTCTGGGTGACTTTTCATTTGTTGTTTTGGAGACAAATGGTAAATGGTAAATAGCCCTCACACTGAGGCAAAGGTCCTATTTTACACAAAATGGACTCTTGTGATTTTAAAACCATGCAGACTGGACTAGACCAGAGACTAGACTGGGTACTATAGACCAAGACCTAGATCAAGAACTAGACCATACACCAAACCAGGCTCTATCTAGACAAGAGCTCAGACCACAACCCAGACCAGATTAGACCAGAGACCAGACAAGGGAATAAAGACCATTTACCAAAAGTTAGACCAGAGTCCACCTACGAGTCCAAACAAGACCACAGACCTAAACCTGACTGGACCAGGCTGGGATTACTCCAGGGACCACACAGAGTATTAGGCCAGAAAACAAAGACCAGACCAGACACCTGACCGATAGGCCAGACCAGAGCCCTG